GCTTCCCTCCCCTGTAATTGATGAGCGCTTGTGAAAACAAGGTGTGGCGCGTTCACACAAGAGTCAAACCACACATGCACACGCTGTACTGTGCTGTTCTGCGTTGGAGACAGAGCAGGGCCACAGCTCACCACCAGGGGGCGCTAAAACACACGCAGAGGCTCACGATGGGGGTTGGTGTGTGAAAGTTCAAGCATTAGAATGTTAGAGTTTGCAACAAAAGCTCTCGTGTTAAATATGTGTAGTTTCTGAGGTCATACCATTACCAGGATGACAATTTTTACTAAATGGTTGTATAAGTGCACGTCACAATAACATTTTAAACACAATTTTTGATCAGATACAGCGGCGTTTTGAGATATTTACCAAGATTTTTGTGATAAAATGAATCTGAACTAACGTGGCAAAACAATTTCTAGGACAAAGACAAGGAGTAACTTGAACCAAGCAGATTTAGACATGGCTTGGACTGAAAGTAGTTTCTTGTTTAATAATGGTGAAACTCAGAATTCTGTTCAAAAGTCCATTTAAAGTCCATTTACTTCTGTAATCCAATATGAACTAAAATTAGAGGAATACAGTAGGTGATGTGAGCTATAAGCCTCTATGGTATGGTATGATTTTTATTTTTACAGAGACAGTGTACAATACACAATAGAAGCAGTGCTAATTTACACCTTAAGTCCCTGAACAATAAAACTTAAGTATTAGAATACATGAACATACATTTAGTAAGCAGAAATTACAATTTAATTTACCCTACAAGCTAAAAAAAAAAACACCCAGCCCCCATTTTGACAATTGTCTCTCAACTTGTAAAAACATATATGTCACTTTGCATGTAATAATAACTTTTAATTTTGTTGGAATAAAAAGTTTCATATTCTAATTTGAATGGCAAAATCCAACCAAGCATCAACCAGGACTAAAACTGAATAATTGAGGAAACTGGACCAGCTCTAGATTTTACTTCAGGAGTTGTCTTTTTGTTGCCAAGAGCTACTCCTTGTTACCACATATCTGCTCTGAGCCAATACGACATTTCTCTGTGCTTTGGAAATACTCAGGGGTAAGGCCTATAAGAAAATGGCGGATCAGATGTCTCGTCCTTCTGTCTGTTGGGCTGTCGCTCACACTCGCAAAACCTCCTCCGCGTGAGAATGAACTGTAACATAGGTAGGCTTTAATCAAATGCTGTGCAGATTTTGTATTTTGCGGTACAGAGAGTTATGGACAAAAACACCAAGGACAAAAGAGAGGGGTGATCTTAAACCATATTACACACTCAAAACTAGCCTAGCCTTAGCCATCCTGCATGTAACGTCTGGGTCTGGTCCAAGTGTCAGCGATTACAATCAGTTGAATTCCATCCGACCAATCAGCGAGCGCGGGAGGCGGGTGTTGTAGTTGGTTGTGGGTGATGTCAAGAGTTTGCGTCAAACGGGCAGGTTGTAGTTTGGCAAAAAATGTGGTAGAACCAGACAGCAATACTTTACTATCAAGAAATTGAAGCCAGAGCAAGAGGAATGTTTAGCAAAAGTAATTGCTGGTAAAAAATTGTGGCCCTCCTCCCCATGGACTCCATTTGTGGCAAAGGAGATGGCTAGGCTAAACCAGTGGGGGCGGGTCCCAGCTCAAAAGTGGCCAAAATGACGTGCGCTGACATGCTTGTCCACCCCGGGCCGATGGGGGTGGACCCAGAAGTAGAATTAGCCAATGCTAACATATAGCGTTGGCAGACCTCTCAAAAACGTCTTTACAGGATGGTCCAAAAGTTGGCTCTTGGCCCAAAGCTCCGTTCCACATGTGTGTCAATGCTGAGGGGGGTGGAATTTTTTGGTCCACTCTAGTTTACTCGCTGTGAATTTTTGAAGTCTCTCGTTCAAATGAATGGAGCTTTCGCCGGCTGACGCATGCGCAGATGCATTTTTTCACAATTTTCTTGTGGGCGGGACCACTCGCGGCCATTTTGGATTGCTCCAGTAGAGCACATTTTTTGGCCCATTAGTTAGAACGGTGGAGATAGGCGTGACTCTGTCCATTCAATATATACAGTCTATGGGCTAAACGCTAAATGCTAACGACTCACTCAGGCGCACTCATGGATCTATTATATTAACTGGATAGGGTATTACTAGCTTGTAGCTGAATAACTCATGTGCTCGGGGGATTCTCGCGGTACTGCAGACTGAACCAGACTAAATTCACGTGGGCTACCCAGAAATTTTCCCCATAGGACTCAATGCATATTAAAACAGCTCGACCTCAGCTGAAAGAGAACCTACAGCTTTAATAAAGATCGGATTTTGTGGGGATTTTAGTGTCCCTTGTCATCCTGAACTTTTTTTCTTCTTAAATCCTTCGGTTTTGTTTAAATCCACACTTTAGTGCCACAAACTCTACTCCTCTGGCTCTCGCTCTAACTCCTGCTCTGATGAACTGCTCTGATTGGTCAGAGCGCGGCCGAGCCCCTCTGTGCACGTGCGTGAGACCCGGTGTGAGACCCACACACGCGTGTTTGGCGCAACGCATTATGGGAGATCATCCACTGCGCAGAACCGGGAGGACCAGACGATGCCCAAATACAGGCGAGTTTCCCATAGATCTTTGCGAGTTTCAGGCAACTTCCGCTAATCTTTCAGCCCCCATGCCGTCACAAAGCGCCACTGAGCACAACCATTCATTTGAATAGGACGCCATCTTGGATCGCCGGGGCTTATACGTCACGGTAAATTCAGATCCAATTGTTTCAATCTGCAAAAGGAGACCCTCCCACCTGTAAATGGAGCTTAATGGAGCACCTCCAGACCTGAGTACAAAATGTAATTTGTACTATGGTGTGGTACGACCAGGCTAAGTCAAAACATGTTCCTGGATATACTAGGTCTATACTATACTGGATGTACTAATAAGAAATTATAGGGGCCCCAGGTCTAAATCAGAGCAAACAATTGAATAGTGTTCTTCATAAATCCTCAGTTAATAGGAGCAGTGTGTAAAAATCTGGACCAAAGGTGGTACTGCAGCCTCTCCCACTCTCCCTGACTCAGGTTGCCAGATATGCAGCTGGAACCATAATAAGTCTTTTGTCAACTACAATCTATAATTAACACCTTTTTCACAAAGGCCTTGATAGAACAACTGAGGGATTTTATATATTCTATCTGTCTTTTTTAATGTACTGTGATTATTTATGATTTTAATATACTGTATGTTCAGCCCTTTGAGTTGCCTTGTGTGTGAAATGTGCAAGACAAATAAACTTGCCTTGCCTTGCCTTGATTTATTCTTATTTTTATTGATTTGAGAATCAAAACGAGACCTTTTTTAGGTCTGTGCCACATGGTATATTACCAGTGAGATTAGCTTGACATGGTGGCTTCTGGCGCCGGGATCACAGACTTTCTGATTGGTGAAACGGTGGAGGGCGGGACATCAAAATGAAAACAATAACAAGATTTAGAGGCTGGTTAAAGTAATTTTGAAATTCAAATACCTCTTATCAGACTATTTCTTTAAAATCAATTAAAGAAGTATTGGAAATGTTTTTTATGCCTTTTGACAGATTAGGGCCCTTTAATGATGACTTTTGCTTCTTTAAACCTAACTCTGGCCTTTCTATCTTTTAAAGCACAAAACATGTAACTATATGTAATAAATTCCATGAATGTGTTCCAAGCTCTCAAAACAGTTTGGCTTTACCACCGGCTTTCCTACAAAACTCTTTCTGTCAGAAAACAAACCGAACTGACCATTTATGGGAAAAACAAACGTTAGCTACCCCACCTTTCATCCTTTTCTCAAACAGATGACGCAGGTGTACTTGTAAGAGACCATGCTGTTCACCTGAAGTATTTAAAGTGATTGATGTTTGAGTAACAATTATTCTCATGCTTATTTGCCGTCTTCAATAATCTGTGTTTTCACCACACCCCTTCTGTGTGTGAGCTGTTTGCTGTAGGTTTTTCCTTCTGTGTTGTAGACATTTGGCACAAATGGGAGGAAAACAAACAAACAATCCTTTACACGCGATCTGCTTCGTCGGATGATTTCTCATTCTCGTTTATTCTAAGAAACGATCTCAATTAAAACATTTAAAGTAGCAATATGTAAGATTTTCAATTCAAGTCATCCTTAAATGGCCCTAATGTGACAAAAGGCATTAATAATCCGTACTCTTTTACAATCCTTCTTTAAATGATAACAGCCAAGATATTTGAATTTGCATGATCCGGATCTGCAGATTTCACTTATTGCAGTTTATTTTTTAGAACGCAGCGACAAGTTATGTTTATAGAAGGGACCACAGTATTGGTGATACCTGGAACCTCAGAGCCTCCCTCGAGAGGCCCGAGCTGGCCCCGGAATCTAACCGGTTTCTTTCTTGTTGCGTAACATAACAGTGCACGCTGCAGGAGGGTCCAGGGAAGTGAGGACTGTGTTGGTGATCCAGGTCACACCACATTCTACCACATTCATGGATCTCTGCCATAGACCAATGGATCTGTGTGTTTTATGAATCATTGCATTTCCTCTGTTTGAACTGTTTGATTCTCTGACCTGTGTTGGCGAGTCGACAGCTTGTAAAGTCCTAAAACCACACTTATTTTTTTAAATATATATATATATATATGTAAATGATCATGAATTTTTTTATTTCAATTTTTTAATTTCAATTTTTATTTTATTTTATTTCATGTTTTATTCCCCATGTGAAGCGTGAGTGTCGTGAGTGTCGTGAGTGTCCAAAAAAGCGTTTTACAAGTTTGATGTATTGTTTTAATATTCACCCAGCCGCCAACCCCTGGTAATACAACTGCTCTCATTAAAACCCACTTAGACGTTATCCCTGGGGCCCCTTGACCCCTCACACCACTGCTAACATGGGACCTTTACCACAAGCTTGTTACTACCTCCTCCTTCCTCAGGATTTCTCAGGATCCAACCGCTCTGGCTGTTGCCCGCCTCCTCACGGCAGCTGTTGGCGCGCCGCGGGTTGCTCAAGGACACGTCAGCAGGGGCCGTGACCTATGGCGGCAGGAAGTCACACTCCGTCTCCCCCACCTGCTGCGGCTCTGAGCTGGCGTGGGCAAACGACCTGATCCACCGCTGTATTTGGACACAAAGCACTGGTCGTCCTCACTTCCTGCAGAGAGCGTGAGGCTGTGAACTTGAGCCGCCTGAGTCACTTGTGCATAGACCGCAGGGGCCGAGGGACGGCAGGGGCCCAGGGACGGCAGGGGCCCAGGGACGGCAGGGGCCCAGGGACGGCAGGGGCCCAGGGACCGCAAGGGCCCAGGGACCACAGGATCCCACGGACCACAAGGACCGCAGGGGCCCAGGGACCACAGGGGCAGAGGGAGCGCAGGGGCCCAGGGAGCGCAGGGGCCCGGGGAGCGCAGGGGCCCGGGGAGCGCAGGGGCCCAGGGACAGTGTGTGCTGTGCGGGGTGTTCTTTAACACCAAGGTTTGAGTTTGGTGCATGACACTTAAATGAAATAAACTCAAAGTTCCCAGCCAACATGGGCTTATATGGCATTATAGCAACAACATCTGATGGCTACAGGTCATATACATACAGGATAAACAGAACAAAAATACACTTTGGTGCCTCATACAGGATACAGAATCTGTTGTGTCCTCTCCCAGGCTTTAGCAACAAAAGAAGCAAAGGCAAAAACGTAATTGCGATACATTCAGTTCATAATTTCACCTTCAGGCCAAAAGACCTCTGGATTAGAAGCATTTACTCTTTCAAATGAAATGTTTTGATGCTCAAAGTAAAGTGGACAATATAAAACAAAATGAGGCTCCTCTTCTACCACCCCCAGGTCACACACTGTACAGACAGGGGCCTCTTCAGGAACTCCTTTAAAGTGCCCCACCTCCACTACCAGAGGCAAAGTGCCGGTCCTCACTTGGGCTAACAGAGGCCGTGGCCTTCTGGGTACATTTAACGTTTAGTTCTGTGTAAAACTCCTGTTTAAATTTAAAATGATTGTCTTAACTTACGCTTTTCTTTGCAAACGTCAAGTTTGTACTAGGCTGCCTGCTGCTGCATGTGTGGCCTGGATCTGATTATTGCACAGAAATGATGTTTAGGTTTTATGAATGTTGGATTTTTTTGTATCCGCCCCAACATCCTCAGCCTCTGCCTCCTGGACGGAGGACGTGACGGGGGGATTGAGGAGAACCTCGAAGTATTCCTTCCACCGCCCGACAATATCCCCAGTCGAGGTCAGCAGCCCTCCACCCGCACCATACACGGTGTTGGCAAAGAACTGCTTCCCCCTCCTGAGGCGCCGGACGGTTTGCCAGAACCTCTTCGAGGCCGACCGATAGTCATGCTCCATGGACTCTCTGAACTCCTCCCAGTCCCGGGTTTTTGCCTCTGCAACAGCCCGGGCCGCGGCACGTTTGGCCTGCCGGTACTGGACAGCTGCCTCAGGAGTCCCACGAACCATCATTGCTCGATAGGACTCCTTCTTCAGCCTGACGGCATCCCTTACTGCCGGTGTCCACCACCGGGTTCGGGGATTGCCGCCGGGACCAGCACCAGAGACCTTGCGACCACAGCTACGAGCCGCCGCATTGGCGATAGAGGAAGAGAACATGGTCCACTCGGACTCGATGTCCCCCTCCTCTGCCTTGCCTTGTCCTCCATGGTGGCAAGGCGCCGGGAGTGGATGAGATCCGTCCTGACTATCTAAAGTCTCTGGATGTTGTAGGACTGTCTTGGCTGACACGTCTCTGCAACATCGCGTGGCGATCGGGGGCGGTGCCAATGGAGTGGCAGACCGGGGTGGTGGTCCCTCTCTACAAGAAGGGGGACCGGAGGGTGTGTTCCAATTATCGTGGGATCACACTCCTCAGCCTCCCCGGTAAGGTCTACTCCAAGGTACTGGAGAGGAGGCTACGTCCGATGGTCGAATCTCGGATTCAGGAGGAGCAGTGTGGTTTTTGTCCCGGTCGCGGAACACTGGACCAGCTCTATACTCTCCATCGGATACTCGAGGGTTCATGGGAGTTCGCCCAACCTGTCCACATGTGCTTTGTGGATTTGGAGAAGGCGTTCGACCGTGTTCCCCGGGGTGTCCTTTGGGGGGGTCCTCCGGGAGTACGGGGTCCGGGGTCCTCTGCTGAGGGCTGTTCGGTCCCTGTATGACCGGAGCCAGAGCTGTGTTCGCATTGCCGGCAGTAAGTCAGACCTGTTCCCGGTGCATGTTGGCCTCCGCCAAGGCTGCCCTTTGTCACCGGTTCTGTTCACTGTATTTATGGACAGAATCTCTAGGCACAGCCAGGGGCCGGAGGGGGTCCGGTTCGGGAACCACAGGATTTCAGTCTCTACTTTTTGCGGATGATGTCGTCCTGCTGGCTCCAACGAACCAGGACCTGCAACATGCACTGGGACGGTTTGCAGCCGAGTGTGAAGCGGCTGGGATGAGAATCAGCACCTCCAAATCCGAGGCCATGGTGCTCGACCGGAAAAAGGTGCCTTGCCCTCTCCAGGTGGGTGGAGAGGTCCTTCCTCAAGTGGAGGAGTTCAAGTATCTCGGGGTCTTGTTCACGAGTGAGGGGAGGATGGAGCGTGAGATTGACAGGCGGATCGGTGCAGCGTGCGCAGTGATGTGGTCTCTGTATCGGACCGTTGTGGTAAAGAGGGAGCTGAGCCGAAAGGCAAAGCTCTCAATTTACCGGTCAATCTTCGTTCCCTCCCTCACCTATGGTCATGAGCTGTGGGTAATGACCGAAAGAACGAGATCGCGGATACAAGCGGTCGAAATGAGCTTCCTCCGCAGAGTGGCTGGGCGCTCCCTTAGAGATAGGGTGAGGAGCTCGGTCACACGGGAGGAGCTCGGAGTAGAGCCGCTGCTTCTCCACGTCGAGAGGAACCAGTTGAGGTGGCTCGGGCATCTGTTCAGGACGCCTCCTGGACGCCTTCCTGGGGAGGTGTTCCGGGCACGTCCCACCGGGAGGAGGCCCCGGGGAAGACCTAGGACACGCTGGAGAGACTATGTCTCTCAACTGGCCTGGGAACGCCTTGGAGTCCCCCCGGACGAGCTGGAGGAGGTGTGTGTGGATAGGGAAGTCTGGGCGTCTCTGCTTAGACTGCTGCCCCCGCGACCCGGCAACGGATAAAGCGGAAGAAAATGGATGGATGGATGGATTTTTTTGTAGTGGGTGGAGTGAGATCTGAGGGGGCCAATGTGTCTTGTGTGTGTTAAATGTGTAAATGTTAATTGTTTGTATTGTGTTATTTGTATTGTGTTTGTGTTATGTTCATGGGACCCTCTCAAAAATAAGACGCTGCATCTCAAGGGGCTTTCCATAGATAAAATCAAATCAGTATGTCAATGTCAATATCCCAGATCCGGAAATGATCACTACAAGTCAAGCAAAAAGAAAAACAGGACAAGCAGAGCCAATAGAAAAACAGACAGAAAACAGCCATGGTCATATTACATTACATCAGGGGCATCACGGAGAGAGGAAACGCAATATAAAACACAACAGAGTTAAACATTATAGAAAGGTAAGACAGCTACTCGTCCACCAGAAAGACAGAACCTGAGAAAAAATGTAATGTCATCTATGAAATGCCACACGTCATTCAATAAAACATACAGGGAGGGCTTTCTTTGACACAGAAATCCAGAAGTAAAAACATGGCGGGTCAGGATAAATGTGGAGTTTTTCCACAGTTTAGTTGTTTGAAAATAAGGCTTTCACTTCTTTTCTTACCACAGTGGCACACAGGTGACATGCTACTACAGAGAGGTTACACAGTATGGTTCTAATAACAAAGTAAAGTAGAGAGTATTGTGTAGTAAAGTGATTCATCTTTTTTCAAACTGATGTTAAAATGGCAAAAAACAAACAGCATACAAAACAAACCTAGTGTGAAAAGGGGTTGAACCAAGCCCCGGTGATCCAAGATGGCGTCCTATTCAAATGAATGGCTTGTGCTCAGTAACGCACGGGATTTACAGGACATATCACCGGAACTCACCTATATTTGGGCATCGTCTGGTCCTCCCGGTTCTGGGCAGTGGACGAACTCCCATGATGCTTTGCGCCAAATACGCGTGTGTGGCTTTCCTGCACGTGCACAGAGGGGCTCGGCCGTGCTTTGACCAATCAGAGCTGCTGATCAGAACAGCAGCAGAGCGGGAAAGAAAGGAGCTTGTGGCAGTAAAGTGTGGATTTAAAGAAAACCGAAGTATTTAAGAAGAAAAAAAGTTCAGGATGACAAGGGACACTAAAATCCCCACAAAATCCGATCTTTATGAAAGTTGTAGGTTCTCTGTCAGCTGAGGTCGAGCTGTTTTAATTTAGATTGAGTTCCATGGGACTTTTTTCTGTGCAGCTCGCATGAATTTCGTCTGTAGTACCACGGCCGCCCCCTGTGCCGGTGGGTGGGACAGCTATAAGCTAGTAGTACCCTCTCCAGTTATTATTATAGATCCATGGGTTGAACGAAGCAGAGATTTAGTTAGTTCCAAATCCTTTCTTTCATACCACACAGGCCCAAACACTCCACCTTAAAGTGAGCTCCCTCCCCCTTCCTTTCTGATTGGTCTACACCTACGTTTCCGTAACACTTTGAAATGTTAATCAGAGAACATATTATACATATACATTATTATTACACATGCACAGAGGTTTTCAGAATTATTTGTGAACGTTTTAATGAAAAAAATAATGTTTTTATGCACAAAAAAAGCGATTGCGGCAAACCAGGAAGTGCTATTATTATGAATTGCACATTATAGGACACATCTGCAGAGGATCTGTTTATGGATATAGGGTAAGTATATAAATGATTATGGATATAGGTTCAGTATATAAATGATTATGGATATAGGTTCAGTATATAAATGATTATGGATATAGGTTCAGTATATAAATGGGTAACTCAGCGCGGATGTTCAGAATTCTTTGTTCAGTTTTCATGTAGTTCCAGAGCCTAATAGAGGCTTGATTCGGAGGCTCTGCAAAAACAAACATGTTTTCGCATGAGCTGAGCATGCGCGCAGCTACGAGCATCAGCGCCGATGATTGACAGCCCTTGGCATGACTCGATTGGTTAACATGGACGGCATCGTGGATTCTGAGCTATAGCTAAGAGCAGGGAAGGCGGGACTTTCCCGTAATATTAGAATGAATAAAATGACTTATTTTATATCAACATTTAAGGCCATTAGGTCAATTTAACACATTCCCTAAAATTTGTAATTCATTTAGAGTTACAGACTATCACTTTAAGCCTAAGTTATACTCGCGCGGCGCGGAGCTTACGGAGGTGACGTGACGTCACTTGCGCAACGCGTTGGTCACCGCAAGGCCCTTAATCGCCTGCCGCGCAGCATCAAAATGTTCTAACTACGTAAGGGTCGACGCAAGGAATCTCCGCTGTGATTGGTCCGTGTGTGTGTATTGGAAGGAAGCATGAAGCGGCTGCAGCAGGGACATGGACGAGGCACTATGGAGCAGAGAGCTTTGTGCTTCCAAGGAAAAGCAGTTTGGGCTCAGAGCCTGATATACAGGAGACTGTGGACTATCTAACATATATATAACTTATAAACTGTGCAGTCGTTTGTTTTGCACTGTTCCTGTCTTGTTTGAATCGTAGCTGCGTTTGTTGCTTTCCTCCTGCACTCGTAAATCGTTCATGTTTGTCTCAGATATTTGCCACTATTATTGTTTTGCTTAATTGCTAATTGCTTAATTTTACAGATATAAACATAGACTGTAGATATCCAATCTTTTATAATATTTTTCTTTTTTTTTGAAATACCTACAGTAACATTCTTTTACATGTCCCCAGAAAGCAGGAAGAGGCTTTCATTCCAAACATAAGGCACAGAGTACTGTTTCTAGCTAAACCCCAGCAGGTGGTTTGGGCTAAGAAGCTACACCTGTCATGAAGATCCTGGCACAAAAGTATGATTGTGATTGTAATGAGTGGATGAGATCACTCAGAGCAGACGACACTGTCCCTTTAAAGCTCCGCCCACTTTGCAGTTCCATTCTTTCATTCTTTTCTCCTGCATCACTTCCTTCTCGTGTATCTGCAGCAGCACATTCCAGACTCAAAAAAGCCAAAAGCAAAAACATACTATATCACATATCATCTGGTCCATATGTTTAACCACACACAATGCTTTTAACACCAGAACTGCCAGGGCAGTCAATTTGACGGCTTCCTCAGCATATGTACGTTTTTGGTCTTCCAAACTTTGTGACTTTTTCTATATGTAGTTTATATCTATGTAATTATGTTTATGAAATGATCTCGATCCAGGACTGGTTTAGAGCAATCTCAGTCTGGAGCATGTGCTAGTTACCGTAGCAACACACCGTTTACTTACATCCGTTAGCATTTAGTTTTGCTGTATTTGCTGTAAGAAAAGCAGTGAAAAAAACATTTGTTAATTTCAATGGGAGCCGTCAAAATAACTGCTCTGGGGGTTCATGTAATTTCCGGATTCTGGTACTACAAAATAAAATAAAAACAGCACGTAACATGATAAAGTAGTTGCAAAGTAGATAGATAATCCCATTTAAATACGCCAAAGGGAGTTGAGGATCTTATGGATGTGGGCAGCCCGTTCCAATCAGATGGGGCCTTCTATGAAAATGATCTACTACTGACTTCTTTATGGATTCTTGGATCAGAAAAAATGAGGAAGTTAGTGCTTTTAATTGAATAGGATAGTGAGTTGAGGCCAAAAAACTGTTCTAGATATAAAAACACAACTCTATCAATCTCTCAATCTTTAGAGAACTAATATTTGACGATCTTTGTGGAATCAATCTCATCAAGTCTATCAGAAGACCAAATTAACCTGGTTGGACTAAGGTCACAATATGGTTAGAATTATGTGTGTGCTATGTCCTTGCAGCCAGCTGTTTTCCTGTCAACACCACAGTTTCCGCACTTCTGGACATTTTTTTCCCGCTTCCACGAAACACTCCCTCCTTCATTTCATTATTCCACCTCCGCGCGACGTGCTTTCAGTCAATCGAATTACCGTCTTAACACTGTAACACATGATCCTGCAGCTCTATTCGCACTCACACACCACTTTATCCCCCGTGATATCGGCGGTGGGTTTGGCTTCTCTCTCAAGCCTTTGTGTGCGTGTCACTTTGAGAGATGGATGTTTGAGGATGAAGAAGAACAAGGAGATGTAATACGGTAACATGGTGGCAGCAGCGGAATGGAGAATCAGAGATCAGTGGGATTGAGGAGATATGTGAGAGCCGTGAAGATTGAGAGAGGGGAGAAAAGTGTAGTGTAGTGTGTGTGTGTGTGTGTTCAAGAACTGGTTTGATGGTGTTGTTCTACTTTGGAAAATTCACATCCAAACTCACACCGTCAGCTACACTTTACTAGCCTGGCCTTAGCTATCCATAAACAATCATTAGGGTCTGGTTCTAGTGGCTGCAGTTTCCTCGGTTGTATCCCATCCGACCAATCAGCGAGCGGGGGAGGCGGGTGTTGTAGATCGGTGTTGGTGATATCAAGAGTTTGCGCCAAATTTGCTCGTTGTAATTTGGCAGAATCCACACTGGTTCGACTTCCAAATATCAAGAAATTGAAGCCGATCGTTTATGAATGTTTAGCAGATTTAATTTCTGCAGAGATAGTGTGGCTTTTCTTCACACTGAATCATTCCTTCACTCCCTGCATGGTGGTGCTTAACTGATATTGTGTGGCCATCTGTCCTGGGGCAGACTGACAGAGGCAAGGCAACTAATCTGTACCATCTGGCCCTCAGACTACCACCACACACACACGCACACACACACACACACACACACACACACACACACACACACACACACACACACACACATACACACACACACAAACTCATGCAGGTGTCTTGTCTGAGCGCACATCCGCAGTTTAATGTTAATCTTTATGTATATATTTCAAACTTCAAACACATACATTTCATACAAAATGCAACGTTAAATAAAAAAAATAAAGTACATACATTTAAAATACAGTACTTTCTTGACAATAAGACACTACTCTTTTGTTTTTTCAACTCTGCAGCCCATATAACGTAGCACACATTCCTGCTTCAGTGTGTTTATGTGAACATTAGGGATCGAAAACCAGGGGAAGAACAGGGAAATGCAAAGAACTTGTTTAAATGTGATTATGGCTATCAATAGAGTACAGTTTAAACACTTATTTTTTTGACTCCATCAACTTTTAGTATTAATATATAGTTATTAATTAATACAAGTTAGACTGGATTTGGAGTTGTGTTGTTTTGCTCCATCAGCTGTTTGTTAAGTCTCTTGAAATCTAGCTGATGTTGTAGTTTATTCAGCACTTTGAGTTGCCTTGTGTATGAATTATGCTGTACAAATAAACTTGCCTTGCCTATATACAGGTGCACGTATAGTCCGGGAAGTAATGACATGGAGGTCAATTGCAAGAAACATATTAAGAAAATAACCAAGAATCAATCTCCCAAAGTTCTTTCAAAATTGTATTCAGAGTGACTCATGCCATCAAGATGTCGGTGCTCCATCTATCCCTGTTTCTGCCGATACTCACACCCAGACATTGATGCTTTGTTCTCTGATTTATTTTCTTTCTTGGTGATAAGCGTAGGATTCGGCTGCATCACGTAGCCATTGTAGCACAAATGGAAAAGCTGCAGCTGTATAAACTGTAATGGGCGGAGGTAGTGGGGAGGAAACAAACAAAGCAAGCAATTCTTCCACTTCTGGGAACTCATTGTTTTATGTAAATTAGAAAATAAATTGAGTTGTATTTATGGCACACAATAAATGAGAAAGGCACTCAGGGAATCATTTGGAGGCCTATAACCATAAGCTGTCTAACTACTCCTGGTCTTTCTATTTGTAAGATTTACAAGTTTAGCCAACAAGCAGGAATTTAAATGAGAAAGCGCAGAATTGGAAAATACAATGATTATGTATTTTAGACTATAAGTAGTAAAACCCACAAGGCAAGACCACCGAAATAGTCTTCTGCAACTGTTTCACCTCCGTTATACCGCCTCAGGAGCAGAAAAAGGCCTTCACTCAGCCTCATTTCATTGCATACAGTAAATATGAGCAGGTGATATGGCCATACATGCATCAAGAGTTCTGAGCTTCCAGTTCGAACGCACGGCATTGTGGGTAGTTGGGTCAAAAAGGTGGGCATCAAATCACGACCGCCGTATTGGATTACTTATTGCGAACGGTTGACCTTTCTCTTGTTTCCAGCCCATAAATTATTTTAATAGGTAAAAGATTCACCAATTTCAGGAATTTTGAAGATTTTTACAGCTTTGGGCAAGTTTATAAAGCTTGTGTGTAAGCTTTCTATCCTTGTAAGTCTCATAAACTACATGTAGCTCTATAGTCAGTCGGTTGTAATTACATCTAAAAGCTTTTTTGTTGAATGAAAAAATCTGTATTTTACCTTCAAAATGTCTGAAATTGGTGAATCTTTTAGCTATTGAAATAATGTATGGGCCGGAAACAAGAGAAAGGTCAATCGTTCGTGACAAAGTAATCCAATACTGCGGTCGTGGTTTGATGCCCATCTTTTCGACCCAACTACCCACAATGCCGTGCGTTCGAACCGGAAGCTCGAAACTCTTGATGCATCTATACATGTAAATCTCAAGTTTAGTGCCTCCTAAACGTTTGGTTCAAATCAAGATAAAATCGTAAAGTCACTGAGCTGTTTAATGAATACAACTAAATATTTGAAATTCAAATAACACCAACCAATCATTAAAGTATCGTGCAGTCGCTGAAATCTCAAGTATAATCAATGTTGTGCCTGAACGACTAAACTGCAGACGGCAGAGGAAATATATCCACTGTCTTGACCGCAATGTCTCAATGTTGTCATTTCTCACATTTTCAAAAAATTCCATAAGTGGTGTATTTTGGCTGAGATCAGTGTTTTATCCCAAACAGTAAATCTATATTTGTTCAAGTGCCGTTGGCAAAAACCCATCTACTTGTTTTTTTCTCGTATTGACTGCAGTAACACATTTGTCTTTTAATGGATTAACAGTGACGCTTCTTTAAAAGGGATTTTGATAATAAACTCCAAAAAATGTTCTGGAGTAAATACTAGTTTAGCATTAAAGCTGGGGTACCTAACTTTTAAACCACAATACAGCATATGTAATACAATAATCTAACAAACTCCTATGTCCCAGAACAGTTTGTTTTAATCACAAGTTTATTATAGAAATACTTTGCCTCTGTCCCATCTTTAGATCAGCTTTTTCAGACACAAAAGTGTGTGAGAGAGAGGGGGTAAAATAGACTCTTACATGTTGAATTAAAGAATGAAAAGTTTATTTTGTCGCTTAAAACAAGATAAATATGAATACAAATACAAGGGCTTTACATTGTTTTACAGAATCAACCAAAAAGGTGTCGGCTGAAGTCACTTGGCCAAAAGTAACATGTTTTAAAATAAAAAGGAGACAGGATTTTGGGAGCTGATTTGTTCATTAAATACTTCTTTCACTTGACTCTTTCTGTTGAGACACACACATAAAATCAAGTATCCCAGCTTTAATCTCACACAGTACATCATCAGGTACCTATTTTTTGCCACTCATTCATTTAAGAACTAAGACTAAGATACAGATGGAGGATTGTGGTTCCAACATTTCCTCAGAACTTCCTCCATTGGCATCTGTGTGGTCTTCGAGGAGTCCCCCACACACACACTGCATATTGATCCGTCCAGATGTGATGTCAGAGGCAGGTCAGGAAAATCACTTAAGTCTTTCCCAGTGAATACAGTAGACGAGGAGGCCAATCTGTCCCCGTCACAGATCTGCCCGTGCGGACAGATGGACGCTGGGACACTGGGACAAGACTGACACTAACACCCTGAGGTCAGCGCATCCAATCAATATTCAAGACCGGGGCCACAGAGACCGAGACCCGCAGGTCCTGAAGGAGGTCTGCTCTGTGGAGATTGCACTGCACATTAGCCAGCAGCTGCAAGTGACTTTAAAGGAAGATTTGTTGTAATCATTTAGAACTGTGGCCGGAGTTACAGCAGAGGTGTTATGCAAAACCGACTTCTTCTGAGAAAACTTGTGCCTTTGTTAATGTGTTTGTCTGGAGTTTGTCAGAAAAAAAGAGAGAGAGGTGCTTGATTTGAAAAAAACGACGCAAGCTCCTCCCCCTTCCTTTCTGATTGGTCTACGCCTATGTTTCCGTAACACATTTAAATGTTAATCAGAGAACACATTATACTTATACATTATTAATACACATGCACGGAGGTTTTCAGAATTATTTGTTAACGTTTTCATGAAAAAATTATGTTTTTATGCACAAAAAAAGCAACTGTGGTAAACCTGGAAGTAGCTATTATCATTAATTGCACATTATAGGACACATCTGGATTTGGAGGCTCCGTGAAAATAAACAACTGAGCATGAGCAGCTACGAGCATCAGCGCCGATGATTGACAGCCCTTGGCATGACTCGATTGGTTAACATGGACGGCATTGTGGATTCTGAGCTATAGCTAAGAGAAGGGAAGGCGGGACTTAAATAATATTAGAACTAATAAAACAACTTATTTTATATCAACATTTAAGGCCAGGAGGTCAATTTAATACAATTCTTAAAATTTGTAATTAATTTAGAGTTACAGACTATCACTTTAATGTCCAAAAGCTTCTATTTCACTGATGTCGTTGTATCACTATAACATCAGTTCTCTGCCTTTTAGAGCAGAAAAATATTGCTCGTAAATTAAGTTTGGTAATTTATCACATGTTTGATTTTGAAATGTGGAAATGAACAGCACACATGAAACTCCTGCCTCTGGTGGTAGCCTGGGGAGTTACAGGCAGAAAGCATTGTCTAGCCCTCGATTTACCATGTACTTCATATTTCACATTCTATACCATGTAGAAAGCTGAAAACTCCGCACATCCGACTCTGTGACAGGTGCGTAAGAGCAGGCTTCGCACACAGCTTTGACAAACTGAAAAGGAAGAAGGTCAACGGACAAAAGTTTGCATCTGTAAATAAAAATAAAAACACTGGTGTATGCAAGTGCAGTGTGCAAGAGTAGTTCTTCTTCCTTTTCACTACATGTCTATATGATGAAAGGGCAAAGTAAATAGTCTCATTCACTTTTTGATGAACAATAAAAAATGTGTTCTTCTTTAAACAGAACAAAAAAGAATTAGTGACCAACAATGAATGTAAAGAACAGAGAGAATAAATACTCTTTCTCGGACAAACTCGTCGCCATTGATAAACCACTACTTTCCACTATCTGTGATGCACGTCATTTTGGCACAAATGAAAAATTAAAACCAATCTTTGCTTCCTGATCCACTGCAACATCTGAACGCAACTCCCCATCTACTGGTAAAAGTCAGAAAATACATTCAGATCTAACTTCAACATGGTGCACTTAAAATGGAAGCCTGAAGTTGGAATGGAGGAGGCCCCAAGAGACGCTAGAGCACCAGAAAAAGAACAAGAAAAAGGCTGGAGGACGGTCTAACTTGTGATGTGAGTGAAGTACATAACCTCTAAACTCAGAGACCTGCTCAATCTCCTTTTCTTGATCAGGTTTGTTCCAACGACAGAGTTGGTATTTAATCCCATCTTCAGACAAAATGAATCTGTTTTTGAGGTTTTTAACCATGCTATATCATCTCATCAAAAACAGAGTGTGTTTTAGTTCTACCTATTCCTGCACCAGAGGGATGTGTTTTTCCTAAATGTAATCATTACTGGCTACGAAAACAGCCAGGTGTTTGTAAAGAACAAAATTACAAAAACTAATCCATGGACAATAGTGCCATAGAAGCTCAAAGTCTCAAACTAAAACTATTGCAGACAAAAGCTGTAAGTAACTTCTACCTGATTGCTTCACATGTATCTGTGCCAATGTGGTCTTCAAATGAAAGTGTCTGTTGAACAGAGCAGCTGTGATAGGATCTATGCAGTTTGAGTGTATCAGAGGTGCAGATCTGATACACCTTCCATCAAAGCGTCGTGAACAAACACAGCAGAGTGCCACTTCCTCCTGCTGCTGCCACACGTCCTCTTTTCTGTGCAGCCGACCATCACTTCACACTCTGTGGTTCCCTCCTCACGCTATGGCAGAACTGTGTCGCTCTACAGCCGTGACAGAGACACAAGAGAAAGGAGAATTATGAGAAGGAAAATCCAACTTGTTCCCCATAAAGTCATTTTATGGTAGGAATGCAAGTGTTCTCGGCCAGTTTGACGGGCTTTATTATTGAGAGACTTTATTTGGGGCACAACAGGGAATAGTCAGTGTGTAAAAGTGTGGAAACCAGAGGCAAAAGTGTTGGAAATTGACTGAAAAGACTTAACAGAGATGAGATTACTGTTCAGCGCTAGATATGTTTTAAATGTAGTATGTTCCATAGTGATAAGCAGCCGGTAACTTCGTCAAAAGCCCTGTTTCCACCAGCCCTACTTAGCCCTACTCTACTTTAGCGATCCACACTTTTATCAGTTTAAGAAATGATTACTGTAATGCCCTTTGTTTTGGAGTCCCCCAGTCTTGTTTTAATCGTCTTCAGTTAGTGCAAAATGCTTCAGCTCGGTTTTTAACAAACACACCCAGGCGTGAGCACATCACCCCAGTTCTTTATTCCCTACATTGGCTTCCAGTTGATTTTAAAATTTTACTAGCCCTCAATGGTCTCGCCCCTCCGTACTTGTCCGAACTTTTGTCTGTTCGTGACTCAGGCTGATCATTGAGGTCATCATCTCAACTCCTCCTGGAAGTACCTAGGACTAGGTCCAAACACTGGGGAGACCGGTCCTTCTCAGTCCTGGACCCAGACTCTGGAACAAGCTGCCCCCTGATATGCGTGTTCTTACTGATTTTGGCCTTTTCAAATCAAGGCTCAAAACGTATTTATTCAGACTGGCTTTTAACACTTTTTTCACTCAATAGCAGGTGACACTTTTTAAATGTTTTTTTTAAACTGTTACGGCGCCGTAAAGATGGCGCCGTGGCAAGAGCTCTGGTGTGTGTCGTCTCTGTCTGGTGCACACCGGGGTAGTCTTGCACAGTTTTTCCTATGTGGTTTTACTGCAAATGGCAAATAAATGAATCTGAATCTGAACCTGAATCTGAACTGTTTTAATGCATAAATGTTTTAAATTGATTTTATGTAATTTTATTGTGAAGCACTTTGGTCGCCTTGAGTCTTGTCAACGGCTCTATAAATAAAATTGGTTGATGGATTTAGTCTACCTAGTTGTGTTTCCATGATCTGACAGAATGCTAAAGCGTAATGGAAACACGACCAGGTAGAGTAGAGTATAGAAGAGTTGGGCCAAACCCCCTTCCCCGACAATGCCCTTCAGTGGTTCCGCTCCTTACTCTGTGCCCCCTCACTCTCCCCTGTGGAGTTCATCAGGGCACTATACTCGGCCCAATCCCCTTCACCATTTACCTGTCTGTTGTATCATTTCTAAGGCTGTGCTGACGACAGACAACTCTACCTCCTGGTCTCCTCCTCTGCCACCGTCGCTCGTGTCAGCTCCTGCCGCTCGGAGATAAACTCATGGATGAGTCAAAACTTCCTGCAGTTGAGTGGCTTAAAATCACAAATATGCACCCACATGCTTCCACCTCTGTAACATCTTCAATCTCTGCCCAATCAACCAATCTGGGTTTGCCATTTTCTCTCAAAAAGTAACACACAGTGCGTCACAGTTCATAAACCAACAACGCAACACCACAGTTCATACACAAGGCACCTCAAAAGACAAGTCAAGATCAATCAATAAGAAACAATTACAAAAGGCATAAATAATCACAGTACAAGAGTGAAGAACATTGTCAAAGTGGGAGGAAAACACTGCATATCCTAATTTTTCTCTTGTTTTTTTTTTATGTGTCTACTATGTACACTCATTGAACAATTCATACACAATACAATCCAAACTGCTTCACAAAACATTTAAAAACATACACAAATGTAAAGTATTAGTAATAATTGACACAAGAAATATTAAATTCATGTTTGTACAAAAACACAGCAGTTTAAAAATGAAAGAAGAAAAAATAAAATTATAAGATAAGATAGACTTTATTGATCTCACACAGGAGAAATGTACACGTCTGCCGTGGATAGAATCACTCACGATTCGTGCAAAAGAAAGAAATGTGCAACATGTTAATGCAGGATACATTATGTACAATAAAAAGGCAATCACGAAACAATGTCAATATTAGTGCAGGTTTTTCAGTCCTAATGCAAGTGACTTAAAGTGACTCATTGTACAGTCTGACAGCGAGGGAAAAAGGCCAAAAATAAATAGAATAAAATCAATTGTTATTGAATTAAAAATAATCCAACTGTCCAAAAAGAATTTACAAGCCTGAACACCTGACACGAGTAGGACTTTAGTCCCGGAATGTGCCGCGCTGGAAACAGAAAGAGAAACTACCCTCGTGCACCATGCAGCCTCTGTCCTCTTAGACTCTGTCCTCACAGACTGTGTCCTCTTAGACTCTGTCCTCACAGACTCTGTCCTCACAGACTGTGTCCTCTTAGACTCTGTCCTCTCAGACTTTGTCCTCACAGACTCTGTCCTCACAGACTGTGTCCTCTTAGACTCTGTCCTCACAGACTTTGTCCTCACAGACTCTGTCCTCACAGACTTTGTCCTCACAGACTCTGTCCTCACAGACTCTGTCCTCACAGACTCTGTCCTCACAGACTGTCCTCACAGACTCAGTCCTCACAGACTCAGTCCTCACAGACTCTGTCCTCACAGACTCTGTCCTCACAGACTCTGTCCTCACAGTCTCTGTCCTCACAGACTCTGTCCTCACAGACTCAGTCCTCGCAGACTCAGTCCTCGCAGCCTCTGTCCTCAGACTCTGTCCTCACAGACTCTGTCCTCGCAGCCTCTGTCCTCACAGACTCAGTCCTCGCAGACGCTGTCCTCACAGACTCTGTCCTCACAGTCTCTGTCCTCATAGACTCTGTCCTCACAGTCTCTGTCCTCACAGACTCTGTCCTCACAGACTCTGTCCTCACAGACTCAGTCCTTGCAGCCTCTGTCCTCACAGACTCTGTCCTCGCAGCCTCTGTCTGTCCTCGCAGACTCTGTCCTTGCAGACTCTGTCCTCACAGACTCTGTCCTCACAAACTCTGTCCTCACAAACTCTGTCCTCGCAGACTCTGTCCTCGCAGACTCAGTCCTTGCAGACTCTGTCCTCGCAGACTGTGTCCTCACAGACTCTGTCCTCTTAGACTCTGTCCTCTTAGACTCTGTCCTCTTAGACTCTGTCCTCGCAGACTCCGTCCTCACAGACTCTGTCCTCACAGACTCTGTCCTCTTAGACTCTGTCCTCACAGACTCTGTCCACAGCCCGTCTCAGGGGAAAGAGAAAGACCAAAGTCCAGTTTTCATGTCACTGGACCCAAACCAGAATCATTAATTTACTGTACGTGAGAGACAGGGCAGAGTTATTAACACATCTAGAGCTAAAGCCGTCCACAGAAAGGGAAGCAAAAGTGCTGAATGAGACGTGACTCATGAATATTTTCAGATTGAACAACCACATGATCAACATGGAGCGTTAAAGCTGCTGTCGACACCCTGCTGTCTTCATCTTATCAGAAAACATTGGGCCTCATTCACGAACGGTTCTTAGGAACAGATTTGTACGTAAATCCTACTTACGAGGTTTTTACGAAGAAAGTGGCATTCACGAATTTTTCTCGTAACCAGAATTTCTCTTGGGCAAGTACAAATCCTACAAGTCCTCAGGAGCACTCGTACGCATTCAGTGCCGACATGTTCACACGCCGGGGTTGTCCTCTTTGGTGAAGTTTAATAAAAATACAACATTCCAGTGATATGTCCGTCATATCGATGTATGTATTTAATCTATTATTTCATTTTTGTGGTTACATATTATTTTTCATATTCATTTTCAAATTAAATGTGCCAACGCTTTTCAAAATACATTGGAAATCTTGCCGTGTATTAGTGACCCCTTCCTATTTATAGGGGGCATTTCTTTATCCACGGGCCACAGAACAACGGCATATATACTGCTGCTGTAGGAGGTTACTGGGTCCGCGCTGAGTCTCTGCGCTGGTCTCTCCTATGGATCTATACGGGTCTGCACTGGTCTCTCCCATGGATCTATACGGGTCTGCACTGGTCTCTCCCATGGATCTATACGGGTCTGCACTGGTCTCTCCCATGGATCTAGACGGGTCTGCACTGGTCTCTCCATACGGGTCCGTGCTGCATGCTCCTGGATCCATACGGGTCCGCGCTGGTCTCTCAAGTCTGGTCTATGCGGTCTCTCTTCGGTCCGCGCTGGTCTCTGCGCACCGGTCTCTCCAGTCTATGCGGTCTCTCCTGTCCGCGCTGGTTTCTGTGTGCTGGTCACTCCAGTCTCTCCTCGGGTCTGCATTGGTCTCAGCGCTGGTCCGCGCTGGATCTCCTCCCAGGGTCCAAAATATGTTGAGATTAATTAATCTCAAAACATTTTGAGATTCATCTTTATAATAATACATAATATATTTTTAAATTAAGATCATAACATTTTGAGATTAATCTCATCATATTCTTTGATTAATCTCATAATTTTGCTAGTTCGAATTTATTCTCATAATATTTCGACTTTTAAGTCAACATTTTATAACTTTATTCTCAGTCTGGCAAAAGAAGAAAAAAGGGCGACTCTTTTGCTCCGTGTAACTCTTTGCTGCATGTTGCTGTTTCCTCTGGCGTCTGCACACGGCCCTGCAGTCCCTTATATGGACATTAGTGGGCGGTTACCTATGCTAAGTACCTATGCTAATGAATCACCGGGCACGCGCGCTCTACTTACGAGGAGTTGGCATTCATCAATCTGAGAGAACAGCTGCGAACAATTCAGCGGCTTAAGAGCGCGTTGATGAATCCCACGTAGGCTTTTCTTAGAAATCTACTTAAGAACGACTTGAGAAGAAATTTAAGAAGTTTCTTACGAAGTTATTCGTGAATGAGGCCCATTATATTTTACACTTGAAAACAACAGCCCTTTGATTTATTGTCCGTATTTGGTGCTTTGAGCTGATTGGCTGCGTGAGGGCGGCCCTTTTATAAGGCTATAAATACATGCATGTGGAAACTTGTGTGAGAATGATGGATTTTTCTGACATACAGTAGAATGAGTGGTTTGAATGAGTTTGGTACACCAGCTTTAAGTTCTATATTGTGTCCAAACAATACAATACAATACAGGCCACACCATGAACCTGTTCTTAGCCCTTAGATAATAAATACTATGCAATATAAATACTATACTACGCTATGTTTTTTATGAAATGTTTTAGAACGTGAAATAATATCTTAGTAGAAAATCTATGTGGAAACAGGTATGAAGGGTAAAAAATGCTTTCTTCCTGTAACTTTCTATGCTACCGCCAGAGAGAGATTTGTCTTTTTTTCCAAATTTGAAAAGTAATTCAATTCATTTCTATTCTATTCTATATATTTTTGTATAGCCCTAAATCACAATCACACAGTCATCTCGGAGCACAAAACCATCAAATTCGCCACCACAGATCAGAGAATCAAACCGTTCAAACACAAGAAATGCAATGATAAAAACACATTGGTTCAAAAGAAGCAGATAACCAAACATGTCCATAAATGTCATTACCGGCTGAAAACCTTGAAAATAACATAATTTCACCTGAGAATGTATAAAATAAGCAATACTTTTGCTTTGAAACAGGTTTATAACTGCTATGAGTGTGATTTCATAGTTACAATTACAACAGGGGGGTTTTAGACCAAAGGGGCAGAGTTGTATGTTTTAAAAATTTCAGCCTGGATGGATCAAAACACCAATCCACATCTGTTTTGAATTACAGAACAATTTTCTGCCTCCTTTAAACTTTTCTGTGAACGCCTATTTAACATTATAAGCCATCACAAGATACCAAAAATGCTTACTCCAGCCACAATTGCAACTAGAAGTAACAGAATTCAGCCATGGATTGTGATTTTGCAGCTTCTGACCAGCGTAGCAGTGGCATATGGGCCAATACAATAGGACTACAGCGGCAACAACAACATTCAAAGCTATTTTGTGTAGCTCAGAACGGCTCAATAGAATCCACAAAACCACCATAGAAAACCCTCCTCTGGCTCGGCTCCATTGTCTCCTTTACTCTGCGGGCGCTCCGTGTCTCGCCTCCTCCGCTGTCCGCCCAAGCGTGTGCAGCCGTGTCACTCCCATTCACGTCTCCAGCAGCAAACCAAACAAAGTGAGCGTCAGGCCTGCCCAAACGCCTCAGCTCCTGTCTGGATCCGCACCGCCACATCCAGCCGCAGTCAAAAGAAAAGACAACCTCCTGACCCCAAAAACCCCATGGACGTGTGCGAGGGCCACCAGAGCCCCAGGACCAAGGGCCAGGACCACAGGACAGGGGGTCAACAGACTGCAGGGTGGGGAGGTGAGGGAAAGAATGGATTGATGCTGTTAATCAAACATACAAGACTTAATTTATACAAACTACAGAATGTTATTTATTAATTCTTCTTTCATGATGCTAAAGTTGGAGATTTTAGACATTGTATTTTATTTTATTTTAGCACTGAGTTATTGTTATTGTTCCCCCAAAAAGGATCTCTTAATCTTACAGTTATGGATATTATTGTAAGTTACTTTATATATATATATATATATATATATATATATATATATAAAGTTACTTTATATATATATATTATATATATATATATATATATATATATATATATATAAAGTAACTTACAATAATATCCATAACTGTAACTGTACCATACCATATATATATATATATATGGTATGGTACAGTTACAGTTATGGATATTATTGTAAGTTACTTTATATATATATATATATATATATATATATATATATATATATAGTATGGTATGGTATGGTGGGACAGTGTACAATAAACATGAGCCAAAAGGAGAGATGCATTGTACCAGGTTTTAGCAGCAGTGCTAATTTTACAGCTGTAGTCCCAGACCAGATTGTTGTAAAACAGTAAAAGCACTAAACTATAATTGTGTCCTTAAGCAAGACACTTTACCCACATTGCTCTGTGTGTGTGTGTGTGTGTGTGTGTGCGTCTTTCTGTGTGTGTGTGTGTGTGTTATTACTATGAAAGTGAGGTTACTATTTATATATGAATTTAGGATAATTTATTTCCAAATATTTATTTATTTGTTTACTTACTTCCTCACGTCGCTGTTGTTGTTGTTATTGTCATTATTATTATTATAATTATTATTATAATTATTATTATTTACATTTCCTCTCTCACTTAAATTGGATATCTGAACAAACTATACACATTATATCCAAGATTACAATCAGGTACTGGAAAAGAGAGGAAAGAAGGAAAGAAAAACAATATATATAACGTTGTGTTTATAAAATAAATGAACAAATCAAATATACATAACATAGAGAACAACAGGGCAGACAAGAAGTGGGCCCGATGTGGGGTATCTCCCACCTCATCGGCCCCACAAATTTCTTGTTTTTTTAATGCACCTCACAGGACTGACAAGATGACAAGCAGGGCCTGTTGAGTGAGCCCGTCTCGCAGCACGCTCTGCTTTTCATTATTATTATGATTTGTTTGTTTATTTTTGTTAATATTAATTATTGATTTATTATTATTGTCATCTATTCTACTATTATTATTTTTCACCAAAGCCCAGCAAGATAAAATTAGCAATGGGTAATGATTGTGGCAATGACGATGATAATAGTGATAGCGATGATGATGTGTATATATATATATAAACCCCTTTTTATTTTTTTTATTTTTTAGTAAAATATATAGACTCATTTGACCACACTCGACATAGCACTTATGCACCCCTGCATTGCATACACATTCACATACATATACAGAAACTCCGCAAACCAAGGCAGAACTGAAACAATAAAAAACGCAACCCGAATAATTTTTTTTTTTTTTTTACTTTCCCCCTCCCCCCCAACCCCCCCACCTTAACACCTACTGTATTTGTAAACCGTATATATTAGATTTCGAATATAATTTTGTTTTATTTCTTTCTTTTATGTTTTCATTCTTGTAATTGTATTAAAATGTAATAAAGAAAAAAAAGAAAAAGAAAAAGAAATAGTCCAAGCCATTCTGTAGTGAGCTCTTCTTCTTTGCATGTTGTGATTCAAAAACAGATTCATCAGTTTTTAAATTGACAACTATTTAAAGAATTGACGAGTTGTGACGAATCTATTAGAATCAGAATCCTTTTTATTGCCATGAAACAGGAAGTAACAGGAAGTCGCAAACCAGGAAATGACTTTGGCTCTCGGTGCAAACAAGTTAAGGCAGAATAAAAACAAGAAGGCATAGATAAATACAAAAACATGAAAGCAGTGGTTGGAATCCATTTTGTTTCATCAATTTGACCCAAACAAAGCACGCAGAACAGCTTTACAAAAATGAGATGGACAGACTCTCCCACCTCAGCTGTAGTTATCTGCAGTTCATCCAGAGTGATCATGGGCCTCTTGGCTGCATCTCTGATCAGTCTTCTCCTTGTTTGAGATGAAAGTTTGGAGGGACGGCCGGGTCTTGGTAGATTTGCAGTGGTCTGATACTCCTTCCATTTCAATATAATTGCTTGCACAGTGCTCCTTGAGATGTTTAAAGCTTGGGAAATCTTTTTGTATCCAAATCCGGCTTTAAACTTCTCCACAACAGTATCTCGGACCTGCCTGGTGTGTTCCTTTGTCTTCATGGTTCTCTTTGCACTTAAAACAGAACCCTGAGACTATCAAAGAGCAGGTGCATTTATACGGAGACTTGATTACACACAGGTGCATTCTATTTATCATCATCAGTCATTTAGGAAAACATTGGATCATTCAAAGATCCTCACTGAACTTCTGGACTGAGTTTGCTGCACTGAAAGTAAAGGGGCCGAATAATATTGCACGCCCCACTTTTCAGTTTTTTATTTGTTAAAAAAGTTAAAATTATCCAATAAATTTCGTTCCACTTCATGATTGTGTCCCACTTGTTGTTGATTCATGACAAAAAATTCAAATTGTATATCTTTATGTTTGAAGCCTGAAATGTGGCGAAATGTTGAAAGGTTCCAGGGGGCGGAATACTTTCGCAAGGCACTGTAACATAATTGTTTTTTTGATCAGAAATAGTTCCCTAAAAACAGTTCCATGTCGTTCGCTAGTCTGCTGGAGCATGTTTTGGGCCGGGAGTGGTTCAAAAACTGATGTATTAGTTCTACATTAGTTGAGAAATATTTCAATAATGAATTAAATATCTAGCCCTCATCAGTCAAATTTAATTACTCAATTGAAAATATTAATAATTTATTTTTTATTTTATTTTATTTTATTTCATTTATTTATTTATTTGAAAAGGAGGGACAATACACATTAATGAACATTTTCACAAATGTAAATATGCCAGATTATAGCCTTAGGCTAATTTCCATCTGCAGGCCCCCTGGCAGGTTGGTGTTAAGCATACTGTAGGTTAGTAAAAACATACAGAGACACTATATACAGACTATGTACAGAGAGACAAGGACGAGTACAGTGATCACTTGTTAGAACAAACAATAAAAAGAGTGGACAACAAAGGACAATATAGAAAAACAGTAACGGGAAAGCATCGACTGTATTGCACAAACCCCAATATTGCACATAACCTGACAGACCTAATATTGCACTGACCCATATTGCACCATTCTATATTGCACTGACCCGCATTACACTAACCCCCATTGTATAACCCATGCCCAACAGACTCCCATTGCACAGCCCGTATGACACTGATAATTGCATCCCCTTTTGTAACTATCATCATTAACTAAACATGATCACATGTTTGTGTGCCCCTCAGCCACACTTTTAAATGACTCCTAAAGGTAGGGAGACTTGTGCTTTCCCTCACAGACAGTGGAATACTATTCCAGAAGCTCACTCCCTGATATGACAGGACATTCTGTGAAAAGCTGGTCCGCCTAAATGGCAATTCACAATCACTTCTCACAGTGGCTCGAGTCACTCGAGACCCGGCACTGATAGACTGTTTAATAAAATCACTCAATGGTGGAGGCGCCAGACCATGTATGACCTTGTAGATTAGACAGGCTGATTTAAATAATTTAAAATTAGCAAAGTTTAAAAACTTATATTTATCTAAAATTGGACAATGGTGGTATGATGAAGGTTTCTTGTCTAATATTTTCAATGCTCTTTTGTAGCATACTTCGATTGGCCCAATAGCAGCATGACTCGTATAGGACCAACTTGTGATACAATACTCAATATGAGCCAGTATCATAGAGTGCAGGAATGTAATCGCTGCTGTATCCGTTAATGATGTTCAAATATGTCTGAAGTTCCGTATATTAACATTTACAGTTTTCACTACTTTTTTAATGTGTTTTTTGAAGGATAATTTTGAGTCTATTAGCACTCCTAGATACCTAAATTCCTCAACATTAGTTAATTCTTGTCCACCCAAGCAAACTTTTACTGCGGCCACTGTTGTTTTAGGTTTACTAAAAAACATTGATACAGTCTTTTTAACATTAAGGCACAGGCATGAATCATTCCGCCATTTTTGTAGATCATTTAAGGCTATTGAGAGCTGATGGGCTGCATCATCAGCACTTTTGGCTTGTGTAAAAATTACCGTATTGTCGGCATACATAATCGTGTCCACATTTTTGCATACGTTAGGCAAGTTATTTACATAAAGTGAAAATAGCAGGGGACCTAAAATTGATCCCTGAGGGACACCCTGTGTATAGTAAAGATAGGGTGACTTACTATTCTTTATTTGCACACATTGTTTTCTATCTGATAGGTAAGACTGTATCCATTCAACGGTTTGATTACTAAGGTTAAATGTTGACAGTCTAGACAAGAGCTTAAGGTGATTCACAGTATCAAACGCACGCTTAAAGTCAATAAAAACAGCCGCAACATAATAATAATAATAATAATAATCACAGCAAAAACTATTTAAACCCATTTTGTTATGGCTTTGCTTGGGACGTTCACCTTAAAACATTGGTTTCTACTCGAGTAAATTCACTACAAGGGAGAAAGCCATGAAAACAGCTGGATCATAATTTCATGCGTTCAACCCAATTCTCATTCTGCGTGTATTTTCCGCACATATTATTCAGTTCCCTTCCAGCTATCGGCTCCAGTAGGACACAGCTCTGCATGTGATTTCACTCTAACCAAATCAATGTGTGTGTAAGTGGGATGTAAACTGGGACATTTATTTACCTCTGTTCTATCTACTGGGGGATAAAAGCTGGGCGTCACTTCTCTTGGTGAATGTAGGACACCTTTACTCAACCTAAAAACGGGTTGAAAACAATTCCAGCCTAATTAAGTGTATCAAACCGTAACTAATCGATTGAGACATAGAATTTGCGTCATCGCCGGCTTGGCTCC